TATAATTTGTATAATTAACCTCTCTATGGTTCGACCCCGATCTTGCCGAGTTATTTATTGTTTCGATACTCTTGTACTTGGGAGAAAACATCAATCTTTTAGTCGTGTCATTTTAACCCTTCATTTGAGAGAGGATAAAAAAAATCGCTAGACTCCAGTAGTAAATAGAAAGAGTCTTGGTAGACATCAACTTATACCACAAAGAGATGATCTTGATGTAAATGGTTTCATTTGATAAAAGTGAGTCCGATTAAAGTGTTATTTAGCCTTCTTATCATTTAAAATAGTAAATTTAAGTTCAAAATTTTTTTTTAGTTTTAAATTGTTTTTTTATAAATAATGTAGAGTAAATAACTTGTTACCTAACTTATTTTCAAATAAAAAAAGACCAACATGCGAGCTTATCTTTATAAGCTCATGTGTGTTGTTTTAAAAATGAGGTAAGCATACAAGCCTAATTTGTTAGTCCTAATAGCGCATAATCTCTTTCTTTATTTTCTTTTCTTTTTTTTTTCCTATTATTTTTCTTAATAGATACTTTTATGTGTGTATTTTTTTAAAAGTAATTTTTTATATTTAAATTAAAACCTCCTATCTCTAATTTGTTACATTGTTTATTTAGCTTTATGTTTTTTAAATAACAATTTTTTTATTTTTTTATTTTTATGTATTTGATTCTTTGAAGAGATTATTCTAATTGATCTATAGGTTTTTATTTATGTTGTACATAAATAAACTTTGTTTTTATGATGTGTTTATACAAATAAAAATTATTTGTTATTAATACACTCATGGTATTTTTTTATTTTTCAAATATGTTAAAAGTTAATTTGAGATCCTATATGTGGGGTTATGTTAACAACTTTTTATTAATGTATATGATTCTTGTTTTATTTTATTATATGTAAATATTGATTTTTCAATTCATAGCTATATATTTTTTAAAATAGAAAAAATCTTGATTGATATTAACTTAGACTACAAAAGATGATTTTAATGGAAATAATTTCATTTGATGAAAAGAATGTCACTAAAATGTTCTTTGGCTTTATTATCTAAAATGGTAGATCCAAGCTCAATAAGTTTTTTGATTTTAAGTTGCTTTAGGGTTTATGAATTAATTCATTGATCATTTAAGGTCATATATAAATTTATTAAGGTATAGAAAATGTTTTATAGGTATTTTAAACTAAAAATGAGTTTGAAATAGATTTTTATAT